ATTATGCAAAAACAATATTTTTCAAACTTATACTTCCTATAGTAACCTAGTAAAATGCTACATATGGCCCATCTTATTATACGGCGCAGAAACGTGGTCTCTGAAGGCTAGAACCCTGAACCGCATCGAGACTTTCGAAATGTGAACTCTCCGGAGACTTCTATGTATGCCATGGACCGCACATGCCACCAACAACGAAATTTTAAGAACTGCAGGCTATGAACAAGAAATACTTAACATAGTTAAAGAAAGAAAAGTTTCATACCTCGGCCATATCCTTAGAGGAGACAAATATTACATTCCTAAACTAATTCTACAAGGAAGAATAGAGGGACGGCGAGGCCCAGGAAGAAAACAACATCCCTGGCTAAGAAACATACGGGATTGGTGTAACATCAGCGACGCAGCCACCATATTTCGAAGAGCCGAAAACGGCACTCTACACATTATATGAAGAGTACAGACAATCGCCAACGTGCGGCTAAGCACAGGAAGAAGAAGATTCGCCCCTGGCTAAAAGGTTCTTTTGTCAGAAGTAGTTAAATTCTATCGGGATAAGCTATTTGATTACTTCTGACAAAAGAACCGTTTAGCTGAAAATAGCCTTGATAAAGAGGGAAAAACAAGTAGAAACGTCGGTAATTTTTTAAATAAAAGGTTATTTAATTCCTGGTCCTAAACCTGCGAACACCATTTCTTCTATAACATAAGAACGCAAATCTACCACATTAATAAAAATTCTGTTTAATTTATTTTTTCTTTAATTATTTGTATATGTTACTGTAAAAGTTGGAATTCAGTGATTGTTAACAATTACTAGTAAAAGCTCACATAGATTTGCTAAGACTACGCCAGTAAAAGTTCAACAGCTTTTTTTGAAACCAACTTTTATTAGTGAATGCTAGCATTCTCTGGACGATAGCAGTGAGTTTGAAAGATTCAGTTAACACGGTTGCCACATCTTGTAAAATATAAGGATAAGTTGAATAATAGGCAATATAAGGATAACATTAAATTGGGCTAAACGTTGGCAACGTTGACAGAGATCTGGCGTAAATTCGCTTTGTTTTTTGTGGTTATATACAATTAATTGTTTTGTTATCGTTGTAAAAAGTGTTTATGAATGTTTTTCTTTAATTGTTTTGTACGCTTTAAAATGTTTACTATGATTTCCCTTTTAATATTTAGAAGGTTATGTCGTTATTTTCTATAAGTTTTAATAAATATACCAAATTAAATTGTAATTTTAAGATATGTAGATCAGCTTGAATATTGGGGCGATCCAATATTCTTAAAAGTTTTATTTGTTCTAACTTCCACCAACATTCTTCCTCACCACACTCGCCCTGTGCAATAGAATAACTTTTACTGGCAATCTTTAGTAAATATTACTTTCAATGTTACTTTTTGTTTAGTCAATGTTATAAATTACTAGGAAAAGTCGACAAATTTCTTTAAAATACCACATTCACTGGTCCAATCCGTAATTGTTAGCATTTCCTAGTGAATATTAACAATAATAATAATAATAATAATAATATATTTATTGAAGTTTGTATATATACAATGGCAACAAATTTATACAGATGAGTTTAAAAAACATTATCATACAAAAAACAACAATATAATCTTACAAACTACAAAAAGGCTGGAAAAACAACAGTTGCTGATCAAGATCATCACTGCATTTCCAACTTTCACTGTAACATATATGTACAGGGTGGACCATTTTGGTTGTTTCTATAAAGTATCTAGGAAACTGTCAAATTTTGTACTTTTTGAAGATGTTCGATAGTTTGTTTATTTCAGTAACCACGGAAAAATTAATTATAAATTCTGAAGGCACTTTTCTGTGTAGAATGCAGTGGCGTAGTCAGACTTTTTCGAAAAAAATTTTTTGAGATATTAACTATACTTATATTTTTTAAATAGAACCCCTGTATATTTTTAAATTTTCTTATTCAGCTTGGCATGGGCTTCTTGAGAATATATAACACTCTATATTTATTTTCACTATTAACCACAACATTTCAAATTTTTTCTTAAAATATCCACTTAGTAGATAATAGGCCACGCCGAGTAAAAAGTAAACGGTTGTCATGGTGATCGGGACATACCTTTGATGGATGCGTGACATTTCATTTCAACAGATTAAAGTGTGTGTATTTTAAATAATAAAAAAATCAGTAAATTTGAAAATTTTGAGAAATATAATATGGCAGCTGATTTATATTTTGAACGATATCCAGAGCGCGAGCAACCAAACCCAGCCATTTTTAAAAGGTTAGAAGATAGTTTAATCAATGTTGGATCTTTTCAAAAACCGCGTCTGAAAAATTATCAGAAAGAAGATGAATGAAATAAAATGTTAATGTCCTCGGAGCCGTAACACTAGATCCAACAACATCAAGTAGAGCTATTGAAATGCTGTTAACGGCGGCGTGCGGAGACAGTACCAACTCTGTCTAGATAATAATGGGCAGCAGTTTGAACATTTAATGTAGTCTTTGTGTTTTTATTTTTTTTATATTAACTGAGAAGCCCGGTTGAAGTAACGCCTTGAGTTTATATTAAAATATGTTCTTTTGTTTCTGTCACACTTATTTTTTATTTGCTTCGTATTGTTCGATTTTATTTAATTGCTAATTCATGTATTCGGCTCCGAGGGCATTAACATATTGATTTTCTTCATTTTCATTCTGATAATTTTTCGGACGCGGTTTTTGAAAAGTTCCAAAATTGATTAAACTATCTTCTAACCTTTTAAGAATAGCTGGGTTTGGCTCCTCGCGCTCAGGATACCGAAATCAGCTGCCATTTGCTTATAATTGTTAAACTCAATACAACATTCTAACATTTCATATTACTCAAAATTTTCAAATTTACTCATTTTTTTATTATTTAAAATACACACACTTCAATCTGTTGAAATGAAATGTCACGCATCCATCCAAGGTATGTCCCGATCACCATGACAACCGTTTACTTTGTTAATTGGCGCGGCCTACTATCTACTAAGTGGATATTTTAAGAAAAATTTGAAACGTTGAGGTTAATAGTGAAAATAAATATAGAGTGTTATATTTTCGAGAAGCCCATGCCAAGCTGAATAAGAAAATTTAAAAATATACAGGGGGTTCTATTTAAAAAAACATAAGTATAGTTAATATCTCAAAAAATATTTTTTCGAAAAAAGTCTGACTACGCCACTGCATTCTACACAGAAAAGTGCCTTTAGAATGTGTATAATTCATTTTTCCGTGGTTACTGAAATAAACAAACTATCAAACATCTTCAAAAAGTACAAAATTTGAGAATCCCCCTGTAGCTTCGAAACCGATCAAGATAGCCACGATCCGTTTGCGCCATTGTAATTTTTTCAAAAAAAGAACCCGAGACTGCAGTATCAAAATTTGAATATTTCTCACGGTTTCCTAGATACCCTACAGAAACAACCAAAATGGTCCACCCTGTACAGGGTGGGTCAAATTTGACGCTTTTAAATGGAAAAACCCCTTTCTATAGGAGATAGACGAAAACTAATATCGGTGTCTGGAGCTCAATTTTTGTCAAAAACATGATGGTGAAAACCGCACATCGATATCTGTTACGGTTTCGGAGTTACGGGGTGTTTTTCAAAAATATGCACTTTTAACAAATCGCTGTAACTTTTTTGTTATGGAAAATTTTGTATTTTTATGAAAACATTTCCAAAGCACCTTTTTACGTAGGATTTAATGGTTTAAGTATAATTTTTTTAAAATTAATAATTTAAGAATTATCAACAGAAAATTTGATTTTTTATATGGGACACCCTGTGTATTTTTAATTTATTGAAAATAATTTAAAATTACGTTTCCAAAAATATAACCCACTTGATATTTTGCTCGATTCCTCTTCGAGATATAGAGTATATAAAAATTCGCCCGCTTTAAATGAGTAGGCTTTGAACGGCACCGGCTGTAATGGAAAAAAATCTAGCTGTGAGCATCAATTAAAACGAAAATAATATTTGCTATGAGAGATGCAGAATTTTATAACTATTTAAAATATATTTAATCAACATCAACACATTTAAACTATATCTAATAACAAGAAAAATAAATAGCAAACCAAGACATAAGATTTTGCTATAGGTGTTCGACATATCGACCGTCTTCTGTTATGGACAGACGGGGCAGTTTTTGAACATTTCTCGCGAAATTCATTAACTCAGTAGGGGTGAAAGATACCCTCTCATAACTGCTAAGTATTTCTAATTCTTGTCTAGATTATACGGAAGAATAAGGAACCTTTATTTTTCCGCAAATATATCGATAGGATTAGATCCATGGGCACTAAGTCAGGCGGTTTCGACGGCCAACGGCTGGAATCTTGATTGGCTATTCAATTATTCTTGAAATTGGATGCAAAAATTTCCTGATAACTTCAGAGATCAGAGGCGGTGCGTCGTCTTACTGGAAAAATATATTTTCGAGTTCCATTAAGGGCATATCATCAATAAAGGGTCCAAAGCCTACTAGTTAAATGTGGCGAACTTTTAAAAATTCTGTATTTCGAAGGGGATTATAACAAAATATCAAGTGTGCTATATTTTTGGAAAGGTAATTTTAAATTCTTTTCAGTTAATTAAAAATATAGAGGGTGTACCAAATAAAAAATCAATTTTTCTGTTGATAACTCTTAAATTATTAATTTTAAAAAAATTATACTTGAACCATTAAATTCCAGGTAAAAAGGTGCTTTGGAAATGTTTTTATAGAAATACAAAATTTTCGATAGTAAAAAAGTTACAGCGATTTGTTAAAAATGCACATTTTTGAAAAACACCCCGTAACACCGAAACGGTAACAGATATTGATGTGTGGTTTTCACCATCACGTTTTTGATGAAAATTGAGCTCCAGACACCGATATTAGTTTTCGTCTATCTCCTATAGAAAAGGGTGTTTCCATTTAAAAGCGTCGAATTTGACCCGCCCTGTACATGCTTATTTGTAGAAAAAAGGAAAAAACACGGATGGATTTGATTTGGCCAGCTCTGCCGATATCACAATCAGAGATTCCGTTGTGATGAATCAAGACGATTGTGTAGCAATTAATCAAGGATCGAATTTCTTATTTGAGAGGTTAACATGTAGCGGTGGTCATGGACTCAGTCTTTCCGTCGGTCTAAGTAAATCTAATGGTGAGGTAAACACAGTCCGGAATGCTACTTTTACCGATTGCGTCGTCAAAAATTCTAAAAATGGAATGCATATTAAAACTCACAACGATACTGGGGCCATTACTGACATTACTTATAGAAACATTAAACTTTCTGGTAAGTCATATTATATTTATTTAATTTTAATTTCTGTGAAAATATTTTCCAATTTTCAGCAATATTACCATTAATCACTAGCTGTGACGGCGGTCTATAGAAATTCTCCATCTTGTTTTTCAAGCTATTCTGGCACTAGTTTTCAGTTTTCAGCGCTTCACTTCGGAGCTTTAGCTTTCTGTTTGTTCTACTTTCTACTTTTGCTGTGACCCACCTGACACCATGTATTATATTGTTAGCTTATAACAATAATAAACAAGTTTATTAAACACATTTATTAAACATCGGGTTCATCAAATATAAAAGTAGTTTCTTGCTGGCTAGGCGCCATTCTAATTCTAACAATCAACTGTCATTCTGACATAGACATAAACATATGTCAGTACCTCAAGGTTGTACATAACATGAAATAATACTTTATTCTACAGTTTTTAGGCGCTTTTAAGAATAAAAAGTAGGTCGAGGCAAACCGAAGTGGGTCAAGACAAATGGAAATAAATCGAAATGCGTACAAAGTTGGGTGTCGAAATGCGACCTTGACATGTTTCGAATTGTTTCTCGCATAGTATGTAATGTACGCTGTTTTTTTATTAAGTTCATCACTCCATTGATTCCTCATCAAAAAATATGAAAAAAAGTTTCTATAAACATAGGTGTGGAAATGCATAGTTGTAAAGTTACAGAATGTTAAAACTTTATAAAAATAGGTCATCTGTAATATTACATTTTTCTTAAATTTTCTGTAAGTAGCACTGGACATCAGTGTTATACATATATACATATACTGCCATTACTCGCTGACAAGTATTTGACACGCATCAGAAGATGGTCACGCAATGCGTTTTCTTTCATGAGCTTTTCTGTGACTGAAAAGCCCAATACGTGATCTTATTTGTCTACCGCACTCCGGCCATTCAAAAATCTCATTGCTTTGTTGCCTCTTAACTTTTTGGTTTTCGCTGTTAACTGAGTTTACAATTCTTCTCCATTGAGTTCTATTGTGAGCTGCTACTTCCCACTCATTCTACACGTTAATCCCCTTTAAGTTTTTGCGGAAAATGTTCTTGTACCTGTCCACCTGGCCTCCTCTTACCGTCTACAAGCTCACCGTAAAGCAGTGATTTTGGTATGCGGTTTTCTTGCATTCTGCATACGTGACCAGCCCATTTTAGTCGGGATTTTGTAACCATGACTTCAATATATAATATATAATTCTCTCGCAGTTAGCTTTTTCAAAAACCGATACGTTTGAGACATGATGGAACTATTTGATTCTTAAGAGTTGTCTAAGGTGTCTCTGTTGCAACTTGTTTAATGCGTCCATGTGTCGGCGGTACGGCACCAAAGTTTCGCTCCCAGATAACATGGTGGGGATTATAATTGCTCGGTACACTGCAAGTTTCGCTTTTGTGCTCAGGTCATGGTTGTAGAAAACCCTGTATTTTAATTTCCAGAATGCTCTTGAGGCGCTGCTAATCCTGTGCTGAATTTCAGAGTCGATATTGGCCTTTTCCGAAATCAAACTGCCGAGATTATTAAATTCCGCTACATATTCCAGTAGTTCTTCTCCGCTTTTATAGCATTGTTGTGACCTTCCGGGGGAGTTCACATGATTTTAGTTTTGTCGATGTTTAGCTTAAGGCCGAAAACCTCGTATACCCAGGTATATGTGTTCAACATTTCTTGTAATTGCTGTACAGTTTTTGCAACTAGAGCGCAGTCATCAGCGTATTGTTAAGTTCTGTGATGAATTTTGTACGTGTTTTTGCGCGAGTCTTTTTATGTTGAACAGACCGCCGTCATATCTGTATCTAATGCCCAATTCTCTCTCCTGCAGTTTGCTGTTCACTATAGTGGAGAGCACTGCCATGAGTATGTTGAATAGGAGATGCGCTAAGACTAATTATTGCCTAACTCCTCTATTTGTTAAGGGATCGCTCAGTGATCTATGATGTGACACTCTTGACTTGTTGCTGTTATGGAGGCTTTTACGCACTGTAAGAAATTTGTTGGGTACTCCGAACTTTGTCATAATTGCCCAAAGTGCATCTCTGTTCAGAGTCGAAGGCTTTTATTAGGTCGATGAATGCAACATAAAGTTTAGACTGCTGTTCTTTTACTTTTTCCTGTAGTTGGCGGATTGAAAATATGGAATCGACGGTGCCGCGGTTACTGATGCCGCGGACTAACCGCGGCATCAGTGTTATAAATTTTAGTAAAACTTAATAATAAAATAGATTAAATAAATAATGTATTAATTTTATTAATTGTGATTAGTAAAATTGCGTTTATCTCATGAAAAAGACCGAAATCAACAAAATATCAAGATACAACTTTTAATCGACATAAAACGGCCTACACAATTTTGATATCAAAAGAAAAAGAGTCAATGGAGCACATATTTTTTAGAAAACTTTTTCAGTGATAACCCATATATGCTCGTTCCTTCTAAATATGTCGGTACATTTTATAATAAAATAAGTGAGACATAGCAATTTTTACCCTCAAAATTTCATTCGAATCGCTAATAGCTCTTGGAAAAAATATAAAAAATCGAAAAAAAGAAGACTTTAACCCCCCGTAGTTGCCAAACAAACCAGAATCGGACCGGATAAAATTAACCTTTACGTGAGGAATCTTCTCACGAGAGATGTGACATTTTTTTTAAACACCCTGTATTATTCCATAATTCAAACAAGTATAGAAGTTCCATTCTCAAATACTGTACTTTAAACGGTAATTTATACGCTGTACTTTAAATACTGTACTTTATATCTTCCAATATCTTTTTTTGTTATGCTAATACCTATTTTGTCTTTCATTCGTTAACATTAATGAGTTATGAATGTATCTTTCATTTAAAAAAACATTAATAATGTCTCAATACGAATATTTTTTTAGGAATAGAAAATTATGGTATTGAGATTCAAGAGAACTACCCCAATGGAGGCGATCCAGTAGGCAACGTACCTATAACAAATCTAAATTTAGAATCAGTGAGCGGAAATATGTCTGGAGCAAAGAATAGCATGGCTGTGTATATTTTATGTGCGGATGGAGGCTGCAATAATTGGTCCTGGTCAAATGTAGCTATTAGTAACTCAAAGAAAGCAAATAGTTGTAACTTTACTCCAAATGGATTTTCCTGTTGAATTGTCATTTAATAAAAAAAATAGAAAATATATTATATGCTCGTATCATTCAGTTCCATAAAAATTCAAATATTTGATATGCGTTCTCTATCAAAAATTGCTCTTTGTCTCATCCTATGCAAATTCAAATTGATTGTATCGATGCGTTGATTGTATGCGAATTTACTCTACTAAAAGAAAGTAAAATGTTTAAAGAAAAATAAACACAAAATTACAAACCTTGAATTGGGATTTAAAACAAGTTACACACGTGCCAATAAACTTCCCAGTGGAGTTCAGGGATTCTTGTATATTAATTAATACATATCGTGTTCTTTCCGAATCATTCGGTTTCCTATGACGCGATTATAGGCACACTAAATTTCTACAAACTTTTCATAATATTTTAGCTAACAGCAAAGGGAAAGTTTTTTTAGAACAACTTCAGAATTTCAAAGATACAGTCTTGTCCAAAAGTTCACCTCGTGTAGATTAATGACTACTTACGAACTACGCGATGTGGCGAACACCTTCGAACGTTGGACTCACGGCATTCGCCACATCAATCGTGTGGGAGCGCAGAAATCCATGTGTCGAACGTTCGAAGCAAGTTCGGGCTCTTGTCGGTAAATTTTACGCGCGTCAAAGGACCTTCCAACGTTCGAAGCAATGTTTGATGGGCTCCTACACGAGAGTCTTCACGTGGCTGATATTTTACTAGGGATCAGTAGCGGCTTCGCTTTTAATGCTATAACGTGGTTGTAGAATGTAGAATGTAGAATGTTTAGGAGGGGAGTTAATCACCGCGACCTTATAGATCTATTGTGTGTTCCCCTTTCTTGAGTTATAACGAGTTATAACTCATCATACAGTCTCAGGGCTTTAAGAAAAGCCAGTATCTGAGACGGCTCCACAGAGGCCAGCTCTCCATCCTCGACATCAGACGTACCAAGGTTCATGGCACGAATGGTCGTCGTCTCGGCGCACTCAGTGATAAGGTGTTCTGGTGTTTCCCCATTTTCCCCACAAAATCTGCATTCGCCGTTGTTTCTCAGTTTCAGCCTACTGAGGTGTTCGTTGAGGAGACAGTGTCCTGTTAGAAACCCCGTGACAATCCGAAGATTGTTTTTACTTAAATCAAGGAAAACCTTTAATTTTTCTCGGTCATAAGTTCTAAGGAATTTTTTTCGAGTGTTTTAGACCGTTGGAGGATGACAAGTTACGGATGGAGTCTTCCAGATTCTTCAGTTCCGCTTTCAGTTGGTTCCCGTTTGGAAAACAGAACGGTTCTGGTCCAGTTAGTGGAGTGTTCGCTCCTTTTCTAGCTAGATCATTTGCTTTTTCCTTGCCTTCTATCCCTTGGTGAGTAGGCACCCAGAGTAGGAGGACTTTATTTTCTTTGCCTAATTTGTTGAGCTTCTCTATGCATTCTTTGACCAACTTCGAATTGATGGTTACTGAGTTGATGGACGGCAATTTCCTGTTTTCGATAGTTCCTATCTAAGATAAATTGTACGCATCTTTCAATAGCGCAAATTTCTGCCTCAAGGATACTGGGGTAAGTACCCATTGGTTCGGAGTATTCAGTTTTCGGCCCAAATACTCCTATCCCTGTCCCTGCTTTGGTTTTGGAAGCATCAGTATCAGTATAACGTGGTTTCTTCAGGCTGAAAATTTTTTGTGATTTGTCCTTTGCCAGGAATATATTATGTTTCTTGGAGGGTTTGTAGATACATAAAGTTCACTAAACTCTATTTTTATTTAAAATACCATTTCAAAATTACAAATCATTGACAACTAAACTTATGACATTAGGTTCACCATTTTTCAGGTATTCACAGGTGGAGGTGTACTCCGATAAATATATAACATTCCTCCCTCTTTTCAATTTGGTGAATATCTCAGTGGTGGATGAATCACTCGATTTGATCTTCGTGGTATCATTGGAATGTGAGGTGTATTCTCTAGTATCACTGGAGGTTCTAGTTCACGAATTGATGTTCTGGTAGCTGGTACAATTGGTGGTTCTTCATAGTATCGAATATGGCGTTGACGATCATTTGTTGGTACTTCTATTGGTCCTTGAAATATTCTTATTTGGTCAACATGACGTCTTATTTGTTTATCTTCATAGTTGATTTCATAGTGGAGATCACCTATTCGTTTAGAAATTGTCCCAGGGAGCCATTTGTCGAGCTTCTGGTTTGCAGATAGGAAATACACTCTTTGTCCATCTTCCAAGGTGCGAAAAGTTGATTGCATTTCAGCTCGTTGTTTTTCTAACACTTTCGTTGATATATCATCAGGTCTCGTTAGATTGAGGCTAGTGCGAAGGTCTCGTCCTAAGAACAATTGAGCTGGGGACTGTCCTGTGGTGGAATGTGGTGCTTTGCGATATTGTCGAAGGAATTGGTTAAGATTACTCTGTAGTGTTGCTTTCGTAGTTTTCATTGTATATAGTGCTTCTTTCACTGTTTGCACATACCGTTTTATATGGTGCTGATAGTTTGTGGTATTTCACTCCACTATTCTTCAGGAAAGTCTTAAATTCTTCTGCAATGAATTGTCTACCGTTATCTGAAACAACAGTGATTGGTGTACCATATGCTGTGAAGAGGTTGTCCATAATAGCGATTGTTGAAGTTGCTGTGGTAAGAGTGGTAGGTTTTACTTCAACCCATTTACTGTAAGCGTCGACAACGATTAACAGCATCGTGTTGGCTACTGGACCTGCGTAATCAATATGAATACGTTCCCATGGTGCCTTTGAGTACTTCCAATGGTGGTCACGAAATTTGGATGGATCATGCGCTTGTGTTGCACATGCTGTGCAAGACTTAGCAAGTGTCTCAATGTCTGCGTCTATACCTGGCCAAAAAACAAAAGAACGTGCCAATCCTTTCATCTTGACTATGCCTAGGTGAGCTACATGAAGGTCGTTGAGGACGGTGTCTCGTAGAGAAGGCGGAATCACTACTCTATGCTCAAACATCAAGCAGTTGGCTGCTAGAGTATACTTAACTTCGGGGGCTTTAAAGTTGTGATATACTAAATCCTGTCCATCTTCTAGAATTTCCACGTTCTTACCAAGGTGTAGGTCTTTTCTCGTTTCGCGTGCGATTGCTTCTGCTCTCACTGGTAGTTGCTGAGTTTGATGTATAGTAAAACAATCGAAATCGTCAAAATCCTCGGCTTCTTCCCTTTATGAGGAAGAAGAGTTGTGAATAATGTTGACTGTAGAAGTTAATGGTGCTCTGGAACAATAGTCTGCGTTAGCGTTTTCTTTAGAAGTCTTGAAGACAATGTCGTAGTCAAAATGTGCCAGATAGTCAGCATAGTTCGCCATGCGACTAATACACAGGACTGGTAGTGACTTCTCAGGATGCAGAATTTGTGATAATGGCTTGTGATCCGTGATAAGCGTGCAGTGGCGTGCGTACAAGTAATTGAAAAACTTTTGTACCGCCCATACTATTGCAAGAGCTTCCTTGTCTATTTGTGGGTATTTTTGTTCTGTTACTGTCATCGTTCTACTGGCGTAAGCGATTGGACGTTCTTGCCCGTTGCTTAGTCGATGAGAGAGCACTGCACCGAGACCTGTTTTGCTGGCGTCGGTTGCTAACAGAAGAGGCAAGGTTGGATCATACTGGATGAGTACTTGAGGTGAAGTTAGAGCGTTTTTAATATCTTCGTAAGCTTTGTTACCTTCTGGAGTCCAGACGAATGGGTCTTTAAATAGCATGTCTCTTAGTGGTCTATCTCTTGTAGATAGATCTAGAATAAACGAATTATAATAAGTTGCTTTTCCAAAAAACAGCTGTAGTTCTTCTGGAGTTACTGGTTTGGGTGCATCACGTACTGCACGGATATGTGTATCAGATTTGTGGATTCCGGATGCATCAATCTTGTGACCAAGAGCTTCTAAGACATGTTCCGCAAAGGTACATTTACCTCGGTTTAGCTTGAGCCCATGTTGCCTAAACATCTAAGTAACATCTAAGTGACAGAAAAGAGAAGCGCCCCGCATTCGGTGGAACAGGTGTTCGATCTTCGGAATCGGATGTTCATCGATGATGATCCTTGGGTTGACTGTTGGCTTGTAGTTACCAGTGATTCTCAGTTTCCCATTCTTCTTGACGACAACGCGTGTTGTTGATGCCCACTCTGAATAATCGACACTTTTGTAGAAGCCTGAAGAAATTTTGGACTCGATTTCCTTGGCGTACGCATCACGGAGAGCAACTGGGATATCTCGAGCACGGACGAAGATAGGAGTAGCACCATTTTTCAAATGCATTTTCGCTGGTGGTCCTGAGATTTTTCCAGGGACGTTGCTGAATACGTCTTGGTACAGGTTGAGGATGTGGTCAAGTTGTCTTTGATGTTCTAAGGACAGAGGTTGTTTAACTGAAAGCTTATGAATTAGATCAGGTTTTGCAAAGAGTAGTTCAAAGTTGATCTCTTGGGCAAACTCAAAGATCCACTCTCGTCCAAGTAGCGTCTCGCACTCTCCTTCAACTACGTAGAGGTATAAGTTGCAAGTGGTGGTACCAATGGTGGCGTTGACGGACGATTTGGCTATGATGGAGCATGGAGCGCCGGTGTCAAGTTCCTTTTTGACAGTGGTTCCCTCTATGTTGACATCAATCAGCTTCTTTGGTGATGACTGGACTGTTCCAATTATTACCTCTAGTTTACTGAGATGCTGCACGACATCAATCTTTTCTGCTGGTTTATCTTCAGTGACAAGATTTGTACTCCGTGTTATCTTCCATCGACATACCTTGCTGATGTGTCCCTTCTTTCCACACTTGAGACAGTTGGCGTTGAGGAATCTGCACTGACTTCGAGGGTGATTTTCACCACAACCTGAGCATACTGGCTGATTGTCTTTGGATGTCTGATTTGTTTGGTGATACCTTTTGCTTGATTTGATGATTTCTGGTAGCGATGTGTTGATGAACTGTTTGGTCGCTGATTAACATTCTTTCGAGATGGAGGTTTTTCGTATCCAATCTTGTTCGTTGTATCTGGTTTGACGACAGCAGTCTTTACTTCGTCAGCAGTGTTTCGAGTGGCTTCCAGTGCGTAGGCGATTTCGTATGCAGCGGTGAAGTTCTTTGGCTTCTTGGCGATGATTTCGTCACACATTTCTCTTGACTCTAGACCTGCGAGCATTTGTTCGATCAACATTCTGTCGAGGAATGCTTCATATTCACAATAGGTTGCAGCTTGTCGCAGTCTTAAGGTAAAACTAGCAATGGATTCTCCTGGTTTTTGCATGATGCTTCGAAATTTGATACTTTCAGCAAACTTATTGCGTGTTGCGTCGAAATGAACAGTAAGTTTCGTTTGAATTTGAGTATATGTTAAATATTCTGGATCTTCAGGACTGACAAGGATCTTTAAGGCATCGTTGAGCTCAGAACCCATATAGACACGTGCATAATGAGCATGTTGTTCTTCAGGAATTTTACTCAGATTGAGCGCCAAGGCGAACCGTGTAAAGTAGTCCGTGATTGATATATAGTTCCGTTTATAGATATATAAAGTGCACTAAACTCTATTTTTATTTAAAATACCATTTCAAAATTACAAATCATTGACAACTAAACTTATGACATGAGCTTCACCATTTTTCAGGTATTCACAGGTGGAGGTGTACTCCGATAAATATATAACAAAATATGTTAGGTATATTGAAAGATGAATTATTGGTTTTCTTTGTGTTAATAAATATCTAATAGAATTTTTGGTTATTACATTAATTTAGTGAAAACACTTAAAATTTCCTTTTATTCATTCACTTTTTTATTCATCAAGATTTTCTTCTTATATTAGATATGTGAATAAGTTTTTACTTTTTACTAAAATTACTTTTAAAATTTTCCTTTTTTAGTTAAAATGGAGTGGAATAATGAAATGATCATGGAATATCAAACAGGGAGATCAGAAAAAAGATATTTCCGTTTGTTATAAAATCATTGATATAATTGTTATTTAAAAGCCTATGTATTGTAGCATTAGAAGTTATAAAAAGAGATGGAATGTTTTTTTATAAGAATTTTCTTTTGGAAAAAATATTAAAACAACTAATACTATGCGACGGAGCTGTTCCCCGGTGAGCAATGGGTCGTAAACTAGTGAAAATTAAATTGTAATACTTACGTCTTTATAATATACTGGGCGCCACTCAGTTTTCCATTTACTTTCGAAAACTTCTAAGTTGAGAACTGAGAAATCAACTCAGAATATAGGTATTACTTATTTTAGGAATTACACAAATGAAACGCTGAGATAAACTAATAACTAAGTATAATTAATAATTAAATGTTAATTAGAATAAAATAAGACTATGAAAAAAATTTGATGTTTGAAAATGTTTGTTGGTAAATAGTATGTATCAAAATAGATCACTCAAGATGGTAGTTAAATCTGCACGCTTCTGAATATTAACATTTTATTAATTATTCCGCAAAAGTCTGGCGATCTTGGATACCAAAATATAGGGACTCTTTATATTAAAAAACCGTACTATGTAGATATCAGAAATATGCATAACATGAATAAAATATTTCAAAGTGACTCTAAAGTAATCAAATATATAATATGCCTGAAGGGCTTAATGCATTCAAGTGAATTTAAATTATATAAAAAGAAATGATATGGCCTTTTTTATCCGTTCTGGTCATAAGCTGGTTGTGGTGAACTGCTACTGGAACTGGATTGTGATAAAAACGTCTCTACGCAGACAGGATCCTAAACTGCTGTGGAATCAGGAGATTCCTCCGTTATTCCCGGTGTGAATTGTAGGGACAAAACGTGGCCCAAATGTCAGGTACAAAAAACAAAATGGCACCAGAAAATGCTACCATTAAACCAAATTCGTACCATAAAATAAAACCCTGTCAAAAAAAAGAAGTATTAGGAAACGTTACGTTAAAAATAAAAGTCTTACCTCTGCTCAGAGGGTTTTCTCAAACAAATTGGCAAAATGCCAACAACCGCCGATAGTTCTATCAGTTTGAGCCTTATACCCACCAATATGGCGAGGGAAGGTAGGCACGAAGTGCGAATATACACCGTCAGATATAAAGTGCCCAACAAACTTCGACCGGACTGAAATATTTCGCCAGAAATAAACTTGGAGAAAAAAAAAGACAATAGCAATACTTAGAATGCCATCTCGGTGCGAGGCCTTAAACTTCATTTATTTAAATAAAATAATTCTGTACATTTATATAAATTATGTGTAATTTAAATAAGATGCTACAGTATATTTATATTATCTAAAAAATCGAAACACAAATACCATTACTTTTTTGAACGATATAGCATGTCCCTATACCTTCTGTTTTTTTTTTCAGTAAAGTGATTTAAAATTATAATTATTCTATATTATAATGGTTTCGTTTCAAGAAAATCGTTACTATGACAAATATTCAAACTTTATAAGTATCTATATATATAGAATATTATTCTATATTATATATTCATTTATATATAGAATTATTAAGATTTAAATATCCCTATTTAAGAAACTGGAAGGTTTAAGTAGAGGACATGATATATCGTTGAAAAGAAATTTTTAATTAATAATAGTCTTAATGTAGTTAATAATTAGTATTTTGATTTTTTAAATAACATACACAGGGTTGGATTTAAAATAACAAAGATTTGATTGCTCAAGCCAAGAATACGTACGACACTGAGTTAATTTCACAAATGTAGCGCGCCAGGTTTGCGTCCAACGTTGAAACCAACGTTCGAAGCATCGTGTAGGAGACACATTCGCCAATTGTAATATTGTCGAAAAATGTGTCAAATATTGGTTCGAACGTTCGTTCCAACGTTGGACGCATCGTGTAGGACCGTCTTAATAAATATGATATTAGTCAACACCCCTGCCCCTATTTAACACTATGCAATTAACTGATTATACACCCTATGTTGGTAATGCACACGATGATAACTAGTCCGGTAAATTTAGGTATAAAAATAGTGAGAAAATTACCAAAATTCCGACAAAGTTGAATTTTGGTATAGACCTTCAGTTTACCATTACAAAGAAGAAGAAAAACGTCCCCATCGATCCCACGACTGCCTTTATATTTGTTTCCTAACAATTACCACTTCTGAAATATTGCGATTCAAAATTTCGATCCAGTTATGTTCTACAGGGTTGTTCACCACATACGACACTGATTATTGTAGCTAAACAATTAGATTTTTTCAAATTGTATGTTTTGGGTTCGTTGAAGGACTATTAGAGCTACAATTTGAAAATATTTTTACAAGACACAGAGTGTTCCAAATAAATAAAAAATATCAAAAAAAGAACATCCTGTATATTATTACATTTTTAGTTTCTACGATTATAATAAAGGTAAATTTGATTAAGGTTTATCACACTTAAACTTTAACGCTTTTGAAATATTTTCAATTTTGGGAAATTGCAGTAAAAATTTTAAAACTTCATTTCTCAAAGGATATCAAAGTTTTTAATACTAAATATTTACTGAAGTTTATTTATTGATCAGTTATTGCGTTGCAATAATAAAAATAATACTACCTCATACAGAGTGTCTAAAAATTTATTTTAAATAATTTCTAGCTTTAAACGGCAATAACTTGTTTAATTTAAATGGAACACCCTGTATATTTTAGGAGAATCAAATGAATAATTTAATTGTCTATCAAATTGTGTTACCACAACCATTTTTTACCTGTCTCTTCAAGTTTTCGTAGAAAATGCATTTTCTTATAATTTAGACCTCCATTTATCAATATACCCATGAAATATTGACATTTTAGATTGTTTTTAAAAGAACAAATGTACAAAATGTACAGGTGCTAAAAACGATAATATTACTAGCCCATTTATATTCAAAAAGAAAGAAATTAGAAGAACTTTATAAAAGAGTATGGCATTAATTAAATATACCACCATTATCTGCCCAAATATTAATTAATTACATACTTAGA